TAGGGTGTAGGGGTGTAGGGGTTTAGGGGTTTAGGGGTGTAGGGGTTTAGGGGTTTAGGGGTGTAGGGGTGTAGGGGTGTAGGGGTTTAGGGGTTAGGGGTTTAGGGGTTTTAGTAATTCAAGGAGTGAAGGGGTTTCGTCAGCTCCTGAGGCTCAGCGTGTTTGCGCGCGCTGGGGTGAGCCCGGACAGCAGGACCATGTGTGGTTTGGGTTTAGAGCTTAGGGTTTAGGCTGGTTTCTGCAGTTCTTAAGCCCCTAAACCCGCAAACTCCTAAGCTGTGGGAGCCTGCACCCTAAACCCGACACCCTCAGCCCTCAACCCTGGCAGGACCTACGAGATACTGATGAACCTGCATTTCGCCACCCGCAGCTTCGACGAGGCGTAGCTTGGGGTTGAGGCTTCGGACTTACTTTCAGTGTGTGGGGCTGGCGGGCTTGAGGGGTTTTGAGGAGTTTAAGGGGTTTAAGGGGCTCAAGGGGAGGGGGTTTGAGGGTTTGAGAGGTTTAAGGGAGCTGAAGCCCACTGAACACCCTAAACCTCCCGAAGCCCCCAACCCTCAACCCTCAACCCTCAACCCTCAACCCTCAACCCTCAACCCTCAACCCTCAAGCCCCAAGCCCCAAGCCCCAACCCTAAACCCTAAATCCGAAACCCTAAACCCTAAACCCTAAACCCTAAACCCTAAACCCTAAACCCTAAACTCTCAACCCTAGACCCTAAACCCCCTTCAGGTCAAAGAGCTCGCCTCAAAGATGCGGAATGACGGCCTCAAGCCCACCCAGCGCGCGACACTGGTGCTCCTCAAGACGGCCCTGCAGGAAGTTTGGGAGGGGTTTTAGGGTGCCTAGGGTCTCTCATGTGTTTGGGGTTCAAGTCGTTTAAGGTTTAGGGTCGTTCTCTAAAGGGGCGCTTGTCCCCCTACTCCCCCCCGAGTTGGGCTTGCGCTGATTTCAATGTGAAGTTTTGGTTCGAGCATTCTGGGATGTTCCCGAAGCCCGAAACCCTAACCCCTAAACCCTAAACCCTGAACCCCAAACCCTCTCGTGTGCTTCCTTCTGGAGCACAGAGTCTCTAGCGCATCCCTCCCGAGCAAGGATGGCTTATGGGGTTCTGGGCCGAAAGGCTGTTTTGATTCTGCGCCAGGGTCAAGGGGTTTTGCATTCTCAAGTTAAGGCCCATTCTTGCGCTTTGTTTGATTTGGTTTAGGTTCGGCGTTGGGGGTGAGACTCGTAGAGGTGCGGCCAAACACCACATCCCTATGCAGCAGAGCCTCTCCAACCTTAATTGGCAACAAGCACGAGGTATACGCTGACAGGTTTAAAATTTAGTGTTTAGGGCTGCCGACCTCTCAGCTGTAATTAGCATCGCATGAAAGGACTATGTATATCATGTGTGTACGTGCTGAGCTTGCACCAGGTGGTGGACAACCCCAACCCTAAACCCTAAGCCCTAAGCCCTAACCCTAAACCCTAAACCCCCGAAACCCTAAAACCCTAAAACCCGGCAAAGAGCCAACAAAATGCCCTCAGCCTTTTGTTTGTGGACAGGAGGGCAACCTCAGCCTCTTGGACCGAACCCCTCTGAGTCACAAGGGTTCAGGGTTTAGGGTTTCGGGTGGTTTAGGGTTTAGGGTTTAGGGTTTGGGGTTTGGGGTTTAGTGTAGGATGCGATAACCCCTTCGACCTGGAGAGTCAAGCAGAAGTGTTCAGAGCGATTCTGCCGAAGTCTTGCGGGTGGAATCGCCCCAAGCCCTAAGCCCTAAGCCCTCAGCCCGAAGCCCGAAACCCTAAACCTAAACCCTAAACCCTGAACCCTAACCCCTCAACCGGAACCTCCTAAACCAAGGTGATGCCCTGCAGTGTTACATTCAGGTGCCTGCAGAGGCTTGGCTTGGAACATGGGTTTCGCGTTGTTTGCGGTTTGGGGCTCAGGGCTGAGGGTTCAGGGGCAGCTTCGCATGACTTTGTGCACGTGCGAGTTTCAAAACGCCCGAGGCCCTAAACCCCTAAAACCACGGATGCGGATGTCGCCCCAAAGTTCTTCGAAAGATCTATGTCCAAAGACGCTGGTGCCAAAGGACAGTTTAGTTTAGGGTTTCTAGGGACTAAACCCTAAACCCTAGACCTTAAACCCTACGCCGGCTTGGGGAAGTTTAGGGAACATGGTGGCCGTTCTCGACTCGACCTCTCTCGCCCTCGTCGTTCTTGATTTGCGCCTCCGACGTGCCCAACACGCGCCTGCCCCATTCCTGACAGCACTCCTTGCTGTTCCTTGCTGTTTTCGGCCCGCCCTCTGCCTGCCCCCAACACATGTCATGTCTCTGACTCACCCGTCATCCCTAAACAAGCCCTCACCCCTGAAAAGCAGATTGAAGCACAGAAGGCTGGGAGAGAGGGCTCCCTGTTCGGCTACTAAGTTGCGCTCGGGGGAGGGTGAAGAGTTGCAGAGCTTGAGGTTCACGGGCCACATCCCCAAACCCAAGACCCTAAACTGCGTCACTCAAGGGCTCCGCCAAGATCAGATGGCTGAGGACACTTTGCCCAAGCACGTTGGCACGCAGCTGGTTGAAACAGCCTGCCGCGACAGGAGAGGGAGCTGCCTTGCACCCTGCTGTGCTAACCTATCGGGAAGGGGGGGGCTAATTTGACTACAAATGGCATTGTTCTCAGCAGTATTCGTGCCGAAGCGCGCGACAAGCTGTCAAACACATGTGTAATCCCTGAACCATCCCTAAACCCGAGCCCTAAAGGGAATGTGGTGTGTTGATGTGGTGGTGTGGTGGCATGCGCGAGGGCGTGGCGCACGGAGGCGTCGAGGGAAGCCTATGACAAAAAATTCTCGCATGGGACAAACACATAGCCAGAAGCTCTCCCCGAGGTAGATCCACGGGGTTTTTGAAGGCTTAGCACAACAAAACCGCCAACACACCACCCACCCACACCCACCCACCCACCCACACCCACACCCACACCCACACCCACACCCACACCCACACCCACACCCACACCCACACCCACACCCACACCCACACCCACACCCACACCCACACCCACACCCACACCCACACCCACACCCACACCCACACCCACCCCACCCACACACCCACACACCCACACACCCACACACCCCACACCCCACACCACACACCACACACCACACACCACACACCACACACCACACACCACACACCACACACCACACACCACACACCACACACCACACACCCCACACCACACACCACACACCACACACCACACACCACACACCACACACCACACACCACACACCACACACCACACACCACACACACCACACACACCACACACACCACACACACCACACACACCACACACACCACACACACCACACCACACCACACCACACACAACCACACACAACCACACACAACCACACACAACCACACACAACCACACACAACCACACACAACCACACACAACCACACACAACCACACACAACAACACACAACCACACACAACCACACACACCACACACACACACACACACACACACACACCAGCACACACACAAACACACAAAAAACCACACAACACACACCACACACACACACAAACACACACAACACACACAAACACACACAACACACACACCACACACACCACACACACACACAAAAACACACACACACACACACACACACCACATCACACACACACACACACACACACACACCACACACAAACACAAACACACACACACAACACACACCCCACACACACCACACACACAACACACCAACAAACACACACACACACAACCACACACACACACACACACACACACACACACACACACACACACACACACACACACAAAACACACACACACACACAAAACACACACACACACACACACACACACACACACACACACACACACACACACACACACACACACACACACCACACACACACACACACACACACACACACACACACACACACACACACACACACACACACACACACACACACACACACACACACACACACACACATGGAGAGAGGGAGGTCAACCAGAGACTGTTGTACAATGGTACACTGTTGCGTGGATCTCATCCAGGAGGTGCTGAAACTTCAGATCACCGAGTGACCAGAAGGAAACAACAGCGTTGAGGGTGTTTTGTGGGACGGTCACAAGCAGGTACACATCTGGACATGACTGAAGAGAGAAGGAGAAAGAAAGAAGAGTGAAATCGGAAGTGGCTGCATCACCTCAGTACAGGGGAATCCCATAAGGGACTCCTGGAAAAGGTTGCAGGTACATGGAGCTGGCCAAACTCCACATCCCCTGATGCTTCATAGCTTCGCTGGATTGGGTAGAAGCATCAGGCCCAATCCCCCTGCGGGAAAATTCGACAGTGATCCGCTCGACCCTATGAGAGCGAGATGCTGGATCTCGGTCCAACCTTATTGGCCCTGTAGGGCACCCAAGGCACGTATCCAAGCCCCTTAGCTTAGAATCAGGGTTCACGCACACACACACCCCTCCTACGAGGGGAGACACAATGCATTCCAAGGCCAAAAGAGATATGCTGGTTTTGCACCTTTGTCACCGGTGAGTCCTCCGCCATAGGCCCGTCACCGCCATAGGCCTTCCTCCTCCAGCACCGACCTTGGAAATCCTTAGTGTCGTCGTCATCATCGTCGTCAGAGACCTCCAGCTGCCATGAAAGGCCCCGCCGTGACCCAAGGCACCTCCCATCATCGTCGTCGTCGTGGAGGACCCCCAGCTGCCACAAAGGGCCCAGGAGCATCCCAGGAGGCCCCGCTGTCACCTCTACTAAGACGCCGAGCGGCGAAGTCCAGCAAGAAAGAAAAACGGTCTATTTGCAACTGAGGGGCAACCACCGGAAATACGACTCGGGTCGAGACCCACGAATAGAGAGTTAGACCACCTCGTCTATGTCTCACGACTGGGTTTCAGACACCCTTCAACAATTTCCGGTTCCGCCCTTAATGGCGACTTTGAGCTTCAGCCGGCGTGGCTGGTACCTCGCTCAGAGCACTGGGTGCCTACCAAGGCCCATCTGGCACTGAAGCCTCTCTGTTTACTTACGTGAGCCCCTCCAGGAATCAGGCAATGCCCAAACGGGTGAATTGCCCTTGGGCGATGAAGCCCACACACGGAGAGAGGGAGGTCAACCAAAGACTGTTGTACAATGGTACACTGTTGCCTGGATCTCATCCAGGAGGTGCTGAAACTTCAGATCACCGAGTGACCAAAAGGAAACAACAGCGTTGAGGGTGTTTTTTGGGACGGTCACAAGCAGGTACACAGCTGGACATGACTGAAGAGAGAAGGAGAAAGAAAGAGAGTGAAATCGGAAGTGGCTGCATCACCTCAGTACAGTGGAATCCCATAAGGGACTCCTGGAAAAGGTTGCAGGTACATGGAGCTGGCCAAACTCCACATCCCCTGATGCTTCATAGCTTCGTTGGATTGGGTAGAAGCATCAGGCCCAATCCCCCTGCGGCAAAATTCGACACTGAACCGCTCGACCCTATGAGAGCGAGATGCTGGATCTCTGTCCAACCTTATTGGCCCTGTAGGGCACCCAAGGCACATATCCAAGCCCCTTAGCTTAGAATCAGGGTGCACACACACACACAAACACACACAGACACAGGCACAGGCACAGGGGCAGACACAGACATATACACATACACATACACGAGGAAACGCCTAGACACAAACATGCAGCAGAGCCGAAACACATAAACAGCAAATAAGCACACCAAATATAACACAAAAGGTTCGCCCTTTTTGGACTACCTAAACTCCAAACCCCAAACCCTGAGCCCCAAACCCTAAACCCTAAGCCCTAAACCCTCAACCCTACTGCAGTTGCTGTGGCCTTTGGAGGAATGTTGCTGAAGTGCTGCCGCACCTGGAGTCCGGCCGCATCCCGATGACGGTGCCGCAGCTTGAGGTTTGGGGTGTTAGGGTTTAGGGGTTTGGGGTTTTAGGGGTTAGGGTTTAGGGTTCAGGGTTTAGGGATAGGTTTTAGGGTTTAGGGTTAAGCCTTTTGGTTTTAGGAGGTGCAGAGCTCTAGGGGTTTTGAAGTTCGTGGTCTTGATTATCGGGTGGCGTCGTCTGCCCTGCCGTGCGTCCTCAAGTCCTACATCCCCCTAACCCTGCTGCCGGCCTCAGGCCCGAAGATGGAGCCTCCCTAAACCCTAACCGCAAATATTGGTAGGGTTTAGGGTTTTAGGGTTTTAGGGTTTAGGGTTTTAGGGTTTTAGGGTTTTAGGGTTTTAGGGTTTTAGGGTTTTAGGGTTTTAGGGTTTTCGGGTTTTCGGGTTTTAGGGTTTAGGGTTTAGAGTTTAGGGTTTACGGTGGGGAGAGCCGCCTAGGTGGATTCCCTGAACTTGCTGCTCAACGAGTCCTTGCGCACGGATGACGCGAGGCTTTCAAAGAAGGCGGGCTGCTCTCTATCCGAAGCCCGAAGACCTGTACTGGGTGTTAGGGGTTAGGGTTTAGGGTTTAGGGTTTAGGGTTTAGGGTTTAGGGTTTAGGGCTCAGCATCTCAAGTCCAAGCATTCACCAGTCAAGCACTTCACCGAGCGTTGGAAAAATACCCACCCTCCCAAAGAATCCCATAACATTAAGAACATATTTCGCCTACATTTATACATTCAGGCGACAAAACAACTTTAAAGCCAGCCCAGAGTAGGCCCTAAACCCTAAAGCCAACCCGGAAAAGAGCGGGCCCTGAACCCAGCCCAGCCTGAACCCTAAACAAAGCCCAGAGTGGGGGCCTGAACCTTAAAGCCCCTAAAACCAGCCCAGACCAGACCCCAAACCCTGAATAGGCCCTGAACCCTGAAGCCAGCCCAGACCAGACTAGGCCCTGAACCCTGAAGCCAGCCCAGAGTCGGCCCTGAACCCTAAAGCCAGCCCAGAGTAGGGCCTGAACCCTGAATGCCAGGCCAGAGTAGGCCAACCCTAAATCCAGCCCAGACTAGGCCCTGAACCCTAAAACCACCTTGGCCAGTAACACTGCCCAGTCAAGCAGCAGTAAAACGGCGACCTTCGGGGTCGAAGGTAGCATTGTTACTGGGCAGGGGGGGGGGGGGGGTTGCCGGAAGGTCGACGTTTTACCACCTTGCCCATTAACTCCCCAACATTTGAATTATACATGTAAGAGAGGTTCAGGGTTAAGGTTTTGAGGGGGGGTTCTTGGGATTTGGAGCCCTGGCGCAGGCCTTGGAACTCGCAGACAGCCAAGACGTGGAGAAGAACGGCCGTTTCGCGGCTCAAGCTCTCCGTGGGCTGCTCCAAACCCTCAACCCTAAACCCTCAACCCTCAACTCTCATCCCTCAACCCTCAACCCTCAACCCTCAACCCTCAACTCTCAACTCTCAACCCTCAACTCTCAACCCTCAACCCTAAACCCTAAACCCTAAAGCCTCACAATCTCCTTCAAGTCAAGGTGCAGGCCTTTGAAAAACGCCATGGTGTTTCGGACTCGTCGGTCGACAGTTCGGATGTCATCCCTGTACGTGAGAAAGAACGGCTGAGGGTGATTAAACCGTAAACCCTAAACCCTAATCCGTCAACCCTAAACCCTAAACCCTAAACCCGAAACCCTAAACTTAGATCAGGGACCTTCTCCTTAGATGCCGAGGCACCTACAGCCTTCTTGTCCGCGCGGCTGGGGGCGACACGGAGGCCGGCTTCTTGAGTGTTGAGGGCTGTGGGGGTTTCGGGGTTTAGGGTTTGGGGTTTCAGGGTTTCAGGGTTTAGGGTTTCAGGCTTTCAGGGTTTAGGGCTTAGGGTTTTCATGGTTTCAGGGTTTAGGGTTTAGGAGTTCTAAGTAAGACCTGAGCCCCAAACCCTGGCCAGGAGGCCCCTACCTCGGCCTCTTCAAAGGCGAGCAGTAGCTACCAGAAAATTCCCCAGGGCAGAGAGATCTCAGGGTCTTTTGGGGGCGGTTTGGTGTTTAGGGCTTGGGGGATTTAGGGTTTAGGATTTAGGGTTCAGGGTTTAGGGCATTGGGGTGTTGGGGCCTTTTTGGTGGGTCTCTATGCCACCCAGCAGTAGGAGATCCGCCGCCTTCTTGAGCAGATGGGCGCCTTGGCAGTTTTGGGCTACGGGTCTTTTGGGTGTAGGGTTAAGGGTTTTTAGGGTTTAGGGTTGAGGGTTTAGGGTTTAGGGTTGAGGGTTGAGGGTTTAGGGGTTAGGAGTTAGGCGTTTAGGGTAGGGGGGGGCTCCTGCTCGGTATTCGGTTCAGCTTGAGCAGACACTTGGATGTTAGGGTTTAGGATTTGGGGTCTAGGGCTTCAGGCCCTAAACCCTAAACCCCCTCGAGGGTCCCGCCCCCCCCCCCCCCCCCCCCTCCCCCAAAGCCACGCCCAGGCTCCATGGACCACCTGGTGGCGCAAGCTGTGCTCGACACCTGCTCCAAGACAGGGGACGTTGGCTTGGCAGAGCCCTGGCATCAACCCAAGGGTGATGGGTTTGGGGTTTAGGGCTTAGGGTCCCTTGTTGGGTCCCCAAAAACCATGCGGTGCCCTAAGGGCACCTTCGTTTGGAAAGCTACCATTGCCTTCTTGGATTGGGGGTTTCAGGGTTCAGGGTTTAGGATTGAGGGTTGAGGCTCAAGCCCCCCCCCCCCCTCCCCCCCCTCAGCCCTAATGCCCCTGACGAGGGGCTAAACTCAACACAACCCCAAAACCCCAAACCAAAACTCCAAACCGAACTCTGGCCACTAAGACCCAAGGCCTAAACCCTAAACTGCAGATCGCCATATTATGCAGCTGCAGGAAACCCTCGCCAAGCGCTTGAACCCGGCGGAAGCAAACCAGGCTCGTGTTTCCTGGGTTTACGTTCAGGGTGTAGGGTGCAAAAGTCTAGGGATTTAGAGGGTCTAAGGGTCTACGGGTTTAGGGCTAAGGGTTGAGGGCTTTGGGATTTAAGGGTTTGGGGTGGCGGGGGGTAGGTGCTTCGGGATTTCAGGAACAAAGGCTCGGGGGCTTGGGGATTAGGCAGTCCAACCCCTGCTGCCCGTGTCAGGCTCCTTCGTTCATGTCTCTGATCCGCTTCTACACGGAGGCCCGCAAGAGTTCTCAGCGGTTTGGTCTTGGCGGTTTGGGTCTGGGGATTAAGGATGCGCATTCCCATGCATCTAGGGTGTAGGGTGTAGGGTTTAGGGGGATTCCTATACATTTCGGGCAGTTCCCAACACAACATTTAAGATTCCCCCTGTTGGGTTCACATTGCTTCCGAGTTCTTCAGTCGGAGTTCGGGAACTAGGTACCTGATATTCCCTCTAGAAGGAAGCGGTTATGGTCATGTTGCCTATATCCTAAACACTTGCCCTAAACCCGGTCAAGGCAAGATGTTATGCAAGGCACCTCGTTCCGCTCCGCTCCTGACTGAGGTGGGCGAGCCTGCCAAAGCCTGCGACGTCTATGCCGGCCTGACACAGAAGGCCCACATTTCCCCCCCTCCTCCCCCCCTAAAAGTCTCAGAATCTCCTTGGGGTTGGGCGCTATTTCAAACTTTTCCAGGAGACCAGGCATTGGGACCCTGAACTTTAAACCCTGAAACCTACACCCCACGATCGTGATTACTGGTCAGCCTTTGTTTATGCTGGATACCTAATCAACTTGGTGCTTCTGTTCACTTCCCTTCATTCCATTCCAAGTCCGTTACGTTTCTATACCAAGAAAGGTTTCTATTCGTGTTCTCACTCGCCTTTTCAGGAAGCACATGAATGAGGCGAGTGGACGTATGAGGTCCATGCGCAGGCAAGGAAAACCCGCCCACAAGTCTACACTGTTCATCGCTAGTTTCATGGTGAGGAAACCGAAAATGCTCCAAGAAACAAATCCCTAGACACTAAACCATAGCATTATTCTTACAGAAAGGGATCCGAAATGGGCTCTAATTTAGAACAGCTGCCACATCAAACTTCCCCCAGGGTGCAAATGGACAGACGCTGCTTGGACGGAGCTTGGTGGTGTGGGTGTATTTTTAGGTTTTAGGGTTTTTTGGGGTTATTTAGGGCTTACGGGTTAGGGTTTGAGGGTTATAGGGTCTTGGGTGTTGGGTTGCGTTCAGGGTTCAGTTTTGAAGGGTGAGTGGCTGCTCCACAAGCTACACCCCTTGCTTGGCCGATGCTTGGCACGCCCTCTTCGCCAAAGGGCCCCTCCCTCGTCGGGGCCCCTCCCGAGTCTTTGTAAGCTTTCGTGCAGCCCTCTACCCCAGAATTTTCCAAACCCCGAAAATCCTACGGCCGCCCGAAGCACCAGCTGCAAGTTTATCACGCCCGTTGCCCGTTGCCGCAACTCTTCGCGCCCGTCAAACCCTGCCGTAAGCCAGGGGGCAACATCCCAGCCACAATCCCTAAACCCTAAACCCTAAACCCTAAACCCTAAATAAATTCTAAACCCTAAATCTTGGGAATCATCCGAGGCAGCGGCCAACCATCGATGCCCGCACAAAGCACTGCCTCATCGCGGCTGCCCAAAGTTGTGAGCGCCAGGAGACCCGCGCAGGTGTGGGGTTAGGATTTAGGGTTTTAGGGTTCAGGGTTACTGTTTAGGAGTTAGGGTTCAGGGATATGGTTTGTTCAGGGTGTTTTTGATTCAAAGGCTGTGGCTGGCAGCAAACAGACACTCACGAGACAAGAGACAAGTTTGCTAGATCCTTAGGGTATCCAGGGCAATTCGTGTACTGATGCTCCACTGCTAGACTAGACTTTGACAATGAAAACGAGGGTTGTGATTGTTGTCTGGGTTCCAGAGGCAGAATCCCCAATCATACAGCCCAAAGTGCACGCAAGCCGAAAGTTCGAAAACACCACAAGCCATCTTATCACCTGGGCTCAACATCTCAATCCGGGGAGTTTGGTTATTCCCCTAAACCCCTAGAGTCTACCCTAGAGGGTCGGGGAGTCTGCTTTCTTGTCCCTTGGAGGACCTCCTCGAGGATCTGATTGAGGTGGATGCAGCACAAGGCCCACCAAGAATTCTGATGCACAGCTGCCCCCCCTCCGAACAAAAAAAGGTTCGCCCCCGAATATACGATAGCAAGACACAAACGTGAGGGGCTCCAACACTGGGTCCTGGCCTTACCCGGATGGCTTGCTTGAGGACATTTCAGTTAGGCTTGGGTTCGGGAGTTTCGGGCTGAGGGGTTCGGAGATTAAGGGGTCTAGAGGTTTAGGGGTCTAGGGCTTTAGTGTTTAGGGTAGTCCACTCGAGGGTTGCCAACCGCAAACCCGAGTTTCCACCCCACTACCCTGCGTCTGGCCCATCCTCCCAAATGGTTTGGGTCCAGTTTAGGTTGCAGGGTTTAGGGTTCGACATAGGTGTGGGAATACACGCGTGAGATCTTCTGCTGCTGCGCCAGTAGGAGAGGACGCCCTGAGCCCTAGGCCCTCTGGCCCTTGAAATTCCGAAACTCGAAACCCAAACCCAAAACCCAAACCCGAAACCCTAAACCCGAAACCCTAAACCTTGCCAGGCGGCGCACTTCTTCGGTCGGGAGGCGTGCGGGAGTTGCGGGTTCGGGGCCGTGAAAGTTCGGAGCTTCAGATTCAAAGGGGGAGGTTCGGATCGTTGCGGGTTTCGGATTTCTTTTCTTTAGGGTACCACCGCCCCCCCCCCCCCCGCCCCAAAACAGAAAGGCACCCCAAACTAAGAACAGCCTCCCAAATTGAGACCGGTTCTATGCAAGCTTCGCCGGCCCAGCTATCAACCCCAGAACCGGCCAAACCTAAGACCCTAAAGCCTCAACCCAAACCCCACGTTGAAACAGGGGTTCCTTGCTGTGATTAGTGAGTGTAGTTGGGTTCCTTGTATCCATAGTGGTGAGTAAGTGTATGGGTCCTTTTGGGGGCTACAATAGTAAGACAAACCCTACTTCAAAAACCCAAACCCCCAAACCGTATACTGCGATACCAAAACCCCCAATCGATTCCACAACCCCAAAACCCCAAGCCCTAGTCCAACGCACCCAGCCCTAACCAACCGACTCCACACCTGGGTTCTTGTTGAGGGACATAATCAGCTTGGTAGTGCAGTGGTACCCTTTTTTGCCTCTCTTTTTGGTTCTGGGTTCCCTGGTTCCCTTTTAACCTTTAAGCTTTGGCGAGCCACAGGCAAGAACGGCGGAATCGATGGCGTCCTCAGTATGCTTCTCGCCGTTTTTTTTTTTTTTTTTTTTTTGGGGGGGGGGGGGGGGGTTAGATGTTCCCCCTTATACAAACCGTCCTTCATAGAGATTGTAGTACCCTGTTATAATCCCGATTACGGACTGTTAGTATCAGAGGGAACATTTCAAGGTAGGGTTTATGGGTTTGGGCTGAGAAGTCTGGGCTTCGAGGGGTTTTGGGCTGAAGGGACTTGGGTTGGGGTCTAGGGTTTAGGGTGTACCGGTTGAGTGTTTGGGGTAGAGCCCCGACCTTCGCGTCCCTCAGCTTTCAGAAAGCAGACATCGCCATGGCTGAAGGAAGGGGAGTTGCACAGCCAGAGGCGTGCGAAAGAAACAGTTGTGGCTAGAAAAAGTATGAGTTGCGCATGCGTTGCAAAGCAGTCACAGTTTCTCAGTTGTGACAGTACATCTTGATGGCACTGTTGGTGACCCAGGCTCCAGACCAGAAGCACCATTGTTGCTATTGCTTTTGGCCGGGAGCCAGAAACCGGGGGGGGGGGGGGGGTGGGATCTCAGGCAGATGAGTGCCACAATGTTCCCTAGCATGGCTTCTTACTTAAGGCCCCTTCGCCTTCCCTCATAACCCTTGACTCCTAAAGTTGTAGCAGTTTAACCTGAGCCTTAACCGTAAACCCAGAGCCCTGAATCCTGAGCCTTACGCCTTTGCAACTCTCCCACCTGAGGCTAGAGGGCCCGACGAAGCTTCCCTCAACGGCCTGGAACATTGCCTTGGACACCTGCGTGGAAAACGGGGAACTGGACAAGGCCAAAGGGTTTAGGGCTGAGGGTTTAGGGTTTAGGGTTTAGGGCTGCTTGGGATCTTTCAAGATTTGGCTCGGTCATGGGGTACCAGTTATACGACGGGCCTTGGTGCCCAAGCCGACCATCCTTATGAGAACTCCCCAGTGCCCGTCAGGCCAAGCACCTCGCGAAGAAGATGAAGGAAGCGGGCGCGCTTTGGCCGCATGACCCCGGCATGATCGGAGACAACATCGAGACTCAAGATTGTCAGGCTAAGTCTTAGGTTTCAGGGTTTTAAGGTTAAAGTTTAGGTTTCAGGATTTTTTCAGGTTGAGCTTTAGGTTTCGTCTTTTGGTTCAGAGCGCTGCAATTCACTGCAGCCTGGTTCAGGTCATTGACGTCGTGTCCTACAACACCCTGCTGAAGGCTTACGTGCGCCACAGCCTCTTCGACCAAGCATGCTCCCTCCTCTTGACCATGCGCCTGGCCCTCAGCGAAGATCTAAGGAGCTGAGGGCTCAATTCGTGACAGCAAAGAAGCCTGTTAAGGACTTGGTAAAGTTCCATCAAAGGCTTAAGTAAATGCTGTGGCAAGGACCTTGTGATTCATTCCGAATTTCGAGCCCAACCAGAGCGCCAAGTCCTTTTTCAGCCCTGCCCTGTTGAGATCCTGGGGGCCTCGTTAAGGTCAGGACTCGGCGCACATGCCGAATGCTGTGACCTACCACGAGCTCATCAGCGGCCTGCTGAAGGCCAACAAGGAGATACACAGGACCCAGTGTGGAAATTGCCAGTTGGACCATGGGGCGAATGGATGAGTTTATTGTCAAATTCTGGGAGTCCGTTTTTCATGCGATCCCAGAGGCCAGTGGAGTTAAGATCGCAAGCCTTAGCCCAATCCCCAAACCCTAAACCGCGAGACCCTGACAGTACGCCCTCAAACCCAAGAAGCCACATAGTGACGAGCCGGGGAGCTTTGTGGACATACAGCAGATGCTTGAGAGTTCTCTCGCTTCGTCTTCAAACCCTGCAAGTCTCGAAAGCCTGAACCTCGCCCCCCCCCCCCCCCCCAAATCCCCAAGACGCCTCGCAGCGGCCCGAAGCATCTGATGCATCACTCCGCGAGGACCCGTGCCTGGGAGTTGGTTGCGGAGACTTGGAAGCGTGCTGTGGTGTTGATTTAGGGTTTATAGTGTTTGGGGTTTATCGGTCTCTAAGCCTTTAGGCCTTAAGGAGGGTTTCACGGGTTAGGGACGTTTACAAAGTCAAGAGCTCGAGAGACAGCCATGTGTTTGTGTTCGCAAGGTCCGGGGTTGAGGCTCTGGGGTTGAGGCTGTGCGGGGCCCACAGGTTTTCAAGGAGTGATGCCCCCAGGAGATGCAGGCGGACCAGGTGGTGCCAAACAAGCTGCTGATCGCCAACCTGCTGCGCAGTTTAAGGCCCCACAGCTGTCCATGGTCTGATGCCGACCAGGGTGTAGGGTTCAGGGGTTTGTGCTGGGTTTGGGGTCTTACAAACTACGACGTCATGAAGCAGACTGTTTGTGCATGTCGCTACTTGAAGGTTCATGGGTGTTGATAAGTAGGGTTATAATTCCCCTAAGTAAGGTTGTCACCATAGTTGCCCTATGTATGACCCTACTTACGAGTACCCATGAACCTCCAAGTAGTCGTTGTCCTGGCAACTGCCGCCTCACTTTCCGTTTTGGGTCGAGTGTTCGGGTCGCCGGTGGCAAGTGCTAGAGGAGTTCTTGCACAGCAAGCCCCCCCACGCTCAATCCTCGGAACCCCGTCTTTTCGGACCCTCGGAGGCCCCACGCAATCCCGGATAAAGAACAGCTGAAAATCATCAGTCGGAATAGCAGAAATGATCACAACAACGGTAACACTAGTCGGAGTCGGAAAGCCTTGCAATAGCAAGGAATATTTGGTTTCCCGAATTAGAGGGTGTCATTGGGGTCCTGCTTATAAGGGAATCCTACGATTTGGGGTCCCCTATGTTCGTAAGCCTCCATATGGGCTCAGCCTAGGGTTTGGGTTTTCAGGAACAAAAGGAGGGGCCCATTTTAAGGCACCTTAGAAACTATTTGGGGGAGGCATATAGGGACGAAAGAAGGTAGAGGGGGAACAAGAGTAAGGGTCCCTTCCCCTAAACCCTCCTGATACCCCTTAGGATCCGTGGCCCCTGCCTCTTGGTGATGCTGCGCTGGTGTCGTCATTTCTGCCCCTCTAGTTGATGCAGGGATTGCAGATGAAGCATGCCCCCCTATGCCGAAAGGGTTGAACGATCTGGCGAAGCCCAAACCCTAACCCCCCCCCAACCGAAGAACTGAACTTGGGACCCTAAACCCTAAACACTAAACCCCAAACCCTAAACCCAGCCCTCAACCCTCAACCCTCAACCCTCAACCCTAAACCCTAAACCTAAACCCTCAACCCTCAACCCTCAACCTTCAACCCGAAACCCTAAACCCTAAACCCTCAACCCTAAACCCTAAACCCGAAACCCTAAACCTTAAACTGTAAACCCTCAACCAGGCCGAAGTCCTACGCCAATGAAATCAACCGGGCGATGCAGCTGGTGGATGCGGTGCAGCATCAGGCGCGGTAGGGTTTAGGGTTTAGGGTTTAGGGTTTAGGGTTTAGGGTTTAGGGTTTAGGGTTTCGGATGAATCCAAAAGACCCCAGCGCCAGACCCCCCAAAGCCCACGTACATGAAACCTTCTGTGCTTCAGGTGGATGAGGGCCTCCTATGCACCACGCTCGAAGCTGGCGTGCGAGTCGGCAAGGTGCGAACAGCAACGTTTAAGACATTGAGGGTTCAGGTTTAAGGTTTAGGGTCTAGGGTGAGAGTGGGGGCTTGCAAGGCTTTGTGGGGCTTAAGCTCCTGCCACACGTTGTTGGCCCCCACCATCTTGGTCAGTGTCCCGTCAGGCCCTACACTTCATGCATGCCCTAAAACCTAAACTCTAAACCCTAAGCCCTAAACCGTAAACTCTCAACCTAAACTTTTAACCCTAAACTCTCAACCCTAAACTCTCAACCCTAAACCCTCCTAAACCCTAAATCCTGAACACATGAACTCGGAACCCTAAACCCTGTTTCCCCAGGTCCCGGTGGTGCAGAAGAAGCTCAAGACCTTCCACGGAGAAGGGGCCCCCTTCCCCGTGAAGGTGACTGGGGCCCACAGCTTCGGCTCCCTCATCAAGGTCCTTGAGGGTAGGGTTTGGGGTTTGGGGTTTAGGGTTTAGGGTTTAGGGTTTAGGGTTTAGGGTTTAGGGTTTAGGGTTTAGGGTTTAGGGTTTAGGGTTTAGGGTTTAGGGTTTAGGGTTAGGGGCCAAAGTGGCAAGTGGCTGTAGCTCTACCCGAAGTGGACCTAGTTAACCTCCAATCTAAACCAAACCCTAAACCCTAAACCCTAAACCCTAAACCCTAAACCCTAAACCCTAAACCCTAAACCCTAAACCCTAAACCCTAAACCCTAAACCCTAAACCCTAAACCCTAAACCCTAACCTAAACCCTAAACCCTAAACCCTAAACCCTAAACCCTAAACCCTAAACCCTAAACCCTAAACCCTAAACCCTAAACCCTAAACCCTAAACCCTAAACCCTAAACCCTAAACCCTAAACCCTAAACCCTAAACCCTAAACCCCAATCCCTAAACCCTAAACCCCAAACCCCAAACCCCAATCCCGGGCGCAGGCCTACGGCTTCGTCAAGGATGTGGCGGGCGCCTGGGCATGCTGGCGTGAGATGTCCATGCAGCACATCCAGCCCCTTGCGCGCCGTTTCGGGCTTGGCTTCGGGGTTAAGGGTTGAGGGTTGAGGGTTATAGGGGTTAGGGTTTAGGGTTTAGGGTTTAGGGGTTTCGGGCCTAGGGTTGTAGGGGTATAGGGGTTATAGGGTTGTAGGGTTTTCGGGTGATAGGTTTATAGGTTATAGGGTTTAGGGTTTAGGTTTCAGGCAAAAGGGATGGGTTATGGGTTGAGGGTTAAGGGTTAAGGGTTGACGGTTGGGTTTCGGGTTTGCACGCAGGACCTAGGGATGTGATGTGTTGCCCCTGCTTTGGGTTTAAGAGGCTCTCATTCCCTAAACCCCAAACCCCAACCCCCCCAAACCCCAAACCCCAAACCCTATACCTTCAACCCTAAACCTTAAACCCACAAACCCTAAACCCCAAAAGCCCCAAACCCTCGAGAAGCCCGCATCCCGGCCATGAGTTCGCGAGCACCCTTAGAGGAAGATGCGTTTGGTTTAGGGTTTAGGGTCTGGGGATTAGGGTTCAGGGGTTTAGGGTTTCAGGCTTTCGGCTTTGGGGTTAGGGGTCTAGTGAGGGTTTGGGGTTCAGGGTTAGGGTTTGCGGTTTCAGGGTTGAAGGGTTTTGGGATGTCCTGCCCTTGTCCTCCTCCTTGTGAAGGCCAACGAACATCACCCTTGGCTGTATGGTGGAGGCGCAGCTTAGGGGTGGTTCATGGATTTTGGGGTTCCGGGTTTTGGGTTGCGGGCTTACACGCTAACCCTAAACCCGTAAACCCCTAAAACTGAAACTCTAAGCCCTAACTCCCCTAGCCGCCCTAGCCCTGAACCTGACAGGGCAGAGCCTTCCCGACAGGGGCCTTGTGGATGGCTCGGGGTCTTCCCCTGTTGCCTGCTACTTAGGGTTTTGGGCGTAGGGGTTTGGCTTTAGGGTTTAGGGTTTCGGGCCCATACATCCCCACATCCACCCTCAGGCAGTGGCGAGCAATGGCGATGTCGACGGAGCGCACGAGCTTGTCCAAAGGCTTCGCGCTCCTGAGCCCCCCCACACCCTAAACCTTGAAACCCAATCCCCCAAACTTAGACCCTAAAGCAAAGAAACCTCAAGCCCTAACCCTAAACCCTAAGCCCTAAGCTCTAAGCCCTAAGCCCTAAGCCCTAAGTCCTAAAGCCCTAAACCCTAGTGGTGACGAGGGTAGGGGATTCGCCCACAGAGCTTCCTCTTCTGCGCTTTCCGACAGCCCGAGGCTGCTGGAATCTCCAGAGACAAAGTCGCAGGCCGCGCTGGGAGGGTTTAGGGTTTCGGAGGGTTTAGGGCTTCGGGTTTAGGAGGGTTTAGGAAGCCTTAAACCCCAAGCTCCCCCTTTATACCCGAAACCCTAAACCCTCAGGAACGCCCAAGCCTTGCCCGTGAAGCTTGAGCCGCGCCAGCCTCTTGTACGGTACGAAAGGGTAGAGCCGCGATGTTGTGCACTCGGGTTTAGGGTTTAGGGCTAGGGTTTCGGGCCGCGGTTTTGGAGGTTTTGGGGGCGGTGAGGTTCGCTTAAAGAAAAGAGCCTCCCACTGTGCTGCCCGGGCTCCAACCCTCAACCCTAGACCCTAAACCCTAAACCCTAAACCCTACATCCCGAACCCCGAATTCACCCTCAACTCTTACAAACTATAGACCCTAAACCCTGAACCCCAAACTCTAAAACCGTAGACCCTCAACCCTAAACCCTGTTTCTGGGTCAAACCCTGAACTCCCTCAACCCTCTGAAACCTTTAGATGTGGAGGTCAACGCCGTCATCTACGGGTCGATCCTGAAAGGCTTCAGCCGCAAGAAGCGACTCTTAGCGGCCTTTTGGTTTGGGGTTTAGGGTTTAGGGTTTAGGGTTTAGGGTTTGGGGTTTAGGGTTTAGGGTTTAGGGTTTAGGGTTTAGGGGTTAGGGGTTAGGGGTTTAGGTAAGGGTTTATAGGATTATAGGTTTATAGGATTATAGGTTTATTCGAGGGTTTTTTGGGTTCAGAGGGGGCTGAATGGGGTTTCGAGAGTGAGGGCTTGTGGGTTGTGATGGGGGACAAACAGGAGCGTCACACTCTCAAGTCGAAACCCCCAACCCGAATCCAGCCCAAACGCCAAGTGCAAGGCATGGACCGGGTGTGGCATGCATTCAACGAGATGCAAGTCCACGGATCCTTGGCAAGATGGTTACAGTTAGCCAAGTCGTGGGGGTCCGTGCGCTCGTGAAGCCTCTCTTTTGACCCCTGCCTTGACTGCTCCCAAACTCGAAATGAGGCCTGATGAATCCGTGGGGGTAGCTGCAAGCTGGGGGTGGTGTGGGGTTTAGGGCTTAGGGCCCTGAAACGTCATCCGAAAACCCGAAAACCATGAAAGCCCCAGCTGTCCTAAGGGATCACCCCGACCCTCATGAGCTTCAACGCCATTCTCGATGGCTGCGTCCGCAACGACGAGGTCGACAAGGCCGGTGCACCCCTGAAGTACGTTTAAACCGGGTTTAGGGGGGGGTTATATGGGGGGGTATGGGCGGGGTATTGGGGGCGGGGGGGGGGTATGGACTTGGGCAGGATGCCCATTCCCTGACATAGGGCACCTACGACTTGCTGAGCTCATTTGTGTGGGCGGCTTTTTGACTTGGACCTCTTGCCCCGCCCCCTTGTGAAGATTGCTTGCGTTGAGGCCTTCGGGCCCTGGTTTAGCAGGCTTCAGGGTTGAAAGGTTTTTCGCCGCGCTGCTTGGGAGGCAGCCTTAAACGCCCCTGTTGCTCCGTTGCCAGATCGACGGACTGCTCGAGACCATGCGGAAGTACGGTTTCACGCCGAACCTGATCACATACAGCACCCTCATCAAGGCTCAGCTAAGCCTAGACCCTGAACCCTACACCCTAAACCCGAATAGACCTTAACCCCAAACCCAAAACCCGCAAAAGCTCGGGGTTCTTGGGGCTTCAGGGGGCTACTTGGCTTGGGGAGAGTGGGGTTTTGAAGGCTTCGGGCTTTTTGAGCCTTAGGGCCCCTCGGGTCTGAGGCTATTGGTGGTGGGGTTTAGGGTGTCGTTTGTTCTTCGTCTAGAAAAAAACTCGTGGCCTTGGGCTGGAGGTCTTACACCCTGAGCCCCAAACTTGGAAATTTGGGATTTTGGTGCCTAGGGTTTCGGGACTTGCGTTCCAAGGCCACGGAACCCCCAGCAGGTTGTTTCTAGAGTTGAGGCTTGATGGAGCCGCTATTAATGGGCCTCGGGCTTGAAAGCCTAAACCCCTAAACCCTAAACCCTAAACCCTAAACCCTAAACCCTAAACCCTAAACCCTAAACCCTAAACCCTAAACCCTAAACCCTAAACCCTAAACCCTAAACCCTAAACCCTAAACTCAAACCTGAAAGTTTGCCCACTTGCCGCGGAGGGCTACTGTGCTGCCGGTGACATGCAGAGCGCCTTCGAGGTTTTCTGGTTGAATCTCTCAGAGTTTGGGCTTGGGGTTTGAGGTTAAGGGCTTGCGGTTTGGGGCTTAGTCCCCCCAAGCCCCGAACCCCAACCCCAAGTTCTAAACCATAAACTAAACCCCAAACCCCAACCCACAACCCCGAACCCCAAACCCCAACCCCCCAACCCCCAACCTTAACGTAAGGGTTTAGAATTCTTGGCGGTTGCGGCTTTGAGGGCTTGGAGGGCTTTGTGGGCTATCATTTTTTCGTGGCGTTTGGGGCTCAGCCTTCAGGGTCCAGTACAGTTGTACTTCAGGGGGGAAGCCAAGCAAACTCCGAAGCGGTCCGAAACCACCCTGACACCCTACAGCTTATAAGGCCTCAAGCCCGAAATCCTGAGCCCTAAAACTCTAGAATCCTAAAAGCCTAACACTCTGGAACCCTAGAACCCTAGAACCCTAACCCTAAACCCAAAACCCCAAGCCTTAAACCCTAAACCCTAAGCCCAAAACCCTAAGCCCTAAACCCTAAACCCTAAGCCCTAAACTCTAAACCCTAAACCCCAAACCCTAAACACCTCAAGAGCCCTAAAGAGTCCCCCCCCCCCCCCGTCCTGCCGAGGTCTTCCGTCAGCTTCGCAGTGGCTCCGAGGCACCTGACGAAGTGGTGCATCTTGGACTGCGATCAGGGGTTTAGGGTTTAGGGTTTAGGGTTTAGGGTTTAGGGTTTAGGGTTTAGGGTTTAGGGTTTAGGGTTTAGGGTTTAGGGTGGGTTCAAAGCTGAGGGCTTAAACCGCAAGTGATGTCGACTAGAAAACCTTCAGCCTAGCCAACTTCCAGGCAAGCTTCTTGTCTGGAAATGAGAAAGGCACATCCGGCTGATAGTTCCTCCCTAAACCCAAACCTTAAACCCTAAACCCTAAACCCCAAACCCTAGACCCTAGACCCTATAAACCCTAAATCCATGCGACCTGGACTTCGCTCGGTTGAGTAGTGATCGGGTGGTCTTGGGCTGGACACCTTTTCGTCCTACTGAACGCTTATCAGCGCGTGACTTCTCCGAGCACACCCGAAAACCATAAACCATAAACCCTAAACCCTAAACCCTAAACCCTAAACCCTAAACCCTAAACCCGACACCCTAAACCCTAAACCCTTGGAATCTTTTCCAGAGGGTGTTAAGGGCCATAATGAGAAAATGGATGTAGGGCCACGGAAGACGACGGTCGTGACTATCAGGTACAACACGCTCCTCGACGGCTGCTTGCAAGCCGGCCTGGCTGATGAAGGCAGGAAACATGCCTGGGGTGGGCGGGGGTTAAGACAAGGAGATGCCATTCGACACGGTTTCTAGAAGGTCCTGTGTTGCACCGCTGTAAGGCTTCAAGCCCCAACCCGAAGCCCGGAACCCCAATAAACTGCTGCCTACAGGCTTCAGAGTTCGGGATTTAGGGTTGTTGGGGTTTAGGGTTCATGTCTACTAAGGGTATTCTCACCCCAAGCTCCAAACCGGGCTGTTCCGAAGGTTTGTTTTTTGCTCCTTGCAGGTAGCCGTTTTTTTTTCATTCAACCCTAAACCCTGAGCTACGTTGACATCTTTGACGCAAACGACCGCCGTTTCCTTTCTTTAGGGTACGGGCATAAGGAATGTCGGCTAATGCCTTGTACATGTGCCAAGATGTCGGAGCCCGCCACGAATGCGCGTGCGTTCTGCCGTTTACCCCTAAGCTCGAACCTACAGGATCATGCCCAAGAGCCCAACACCAAAGGCCATGAACGGCCCATCTGGAAGTAAGTACTCGACAACCCTGAAACCTAGTAAGCCCCCCCCGAAGCCCCCCGAACTTAACCCAAATCGCACCCCCAAAACCCTAAAACCCTAAAACCTAAATTCCCTACACCTGCAACCCTAACACCCCTAAAGGTGAACACCTCATCCAGACCCTAAACCCTTCAACCCTCAACCCTAAACCCTAAACCCAAAACCCCAAAACCCCAAGACCCCAAAACCCTAAACCCCAAAACTGTAAACCCTAAACCCTAAACCCTAAACCCTAAACCCTAAACCCTAAACCCTAAACCCTAAACCCTAAACCCTAAACCCTAAACCCTAAACCCTAAACCCTAAACCCTAAACCCCAAGTTCTACACCCTCAAAGGTGAACACCTCATCCAGACCATGATGGATTCAGGGCTGGCCCCGAGCATCTACACCCTGAGCACGCTGGTGAAGCGCCTCACCTAGGGTTTAGGGTTTAGGGTTAGGGTTTAGGGTTTAGGGTTTCGGTTTAGGGGTTAGGGCTTAGCGTTTCAGGTTTAGGGTTTCGGGTTTAGGGTTTAGGGTCCAGGGCTACTTGGCGGTTCAGGGGT